CATGTGCCGGCTTCACTCCATGCTTGCTGTTTCCGTCTCCCAGGAGGCAGAGGAAGACATCCCCAAACAGAAGGAACGCACACATTTCACCGTCCGCCTGACGGAGGCAAAGCCCGTGGACAAGGTGAAGCTGATCAAGGAAATCAAGAACTACATCCAGGGCATAAACCTCGTCCAGGTGAGCTCCGCGCCGCACGGCCCTCTCTGCCCAGCGTGCTCACGGTACTCGGACTGGCCCCTCCTAGGGCAGGGTTTTTGGGGGCAACACGGGCCCTGTTTCTGACTTTGCTCTCTGGCAGGCAAAGAAGCTGGTGGAGTCCCTGCCCCAGGAAATCAAAGCCAATGTCTCCAAGGCCGAGGCGGAGAAGATCAAGGCAGCCCTGGAGGCGGTGGGCGGCACCGTGGTTCTAGAATAGGCCCGTTCTGAAGAACAGCTCTGAAGACGAGTGGACCGGGGTCCCTGGGACCTGACCTGGGGGAGGCCCCCTCCCGCTCCACCCCCAGCATCCGGGACCGTGGTGGGAGCGGCTTTAGGGCAGAACTCTGGCACTGGCGCCCCGAGGCCAGCTCCGCTCTGGGATAGACAACGGACCTGCTGAGATGGGGGGGCGGCTCCTGTGTGAGCACCAGGGAGATGGATTCTAGAACATACCAGAGACAACGTGCACCCCCTGGTGGCCACTGAGAAAAATACATTGTTGGGGCACCAGGTGTGCAGTGCTGTGTTTGGGTGAGCCGCTAGGGGGGCGGGTGGCCCCCGAGGGTGGGGTGAGTGGGGTGCAGGGGCCTGACCTGGTGGTCGTGGAGGCAGCACCCCGCCGGCCTGAGTGGTGGCAGCTGCCTTGAGGCTAATGTCAGATCGTTGGGGTGACAGGGGCACCTCTGCTGGTCGTCAGCAGGAAGCGTGCACCTGCCTGCGGACTGAGCCGTGTACCTGAGAATGGCTGCCCCCCCCACCCCGTGTCCCCTTCCTGGCCATGCTGGAAGGGTGGCCTCCAGGGACAGGGCTGTGGGGCCCGAAGGAGACATTGCACCTGGGGGTGCCAGGCTCTGGGTGGAACCCCTGAGGACAGATCTGGAGAGCTGGCGTGTGCCCAGCACCCGGATGCCGCCGCCAGTAGGCCCTCCCCGAGGACCCTGCTGCACCTCTGTAGCAGGGCTGCCCCCTGGCCCAGAGATGACTCACCACTGGCAGATCCCTAGGCGTGCCTTCCCTCAGCAGAGGCGACTGCCGGGCCGCCTAGGGCGGGTATGACCGCCGGGCATCCTGCTGGCCCACCTGCCTTTCCCTGGGGGGAGGGGTGCTCTAAAGTCAAGGACAGCCTTCAGTCTCGGCTTCGCACTGGTGGCCGGAGTCTGTGTGTGCTCTGAGCCCCTCTGTCTTTCTGAGGGACTTGTGGGTGATGATTAGGACTCTTCTCCCCTCCCCTCTTCCTGGGATGATGGGACCCTCTGCTCCATGCTGGGGTGACTGCTCAAAAGCGCAGTTGACTTTGCACCTCAGGCCATCATTTTGCTCCCCTGACATTGGGCACTGCTTGGTGCCTCCCACTCGACCTCACAGTCCCTGATAGCCCTACCCCACCCCCGCCCGCTCTGGTCTCCACCTGCTGGGGTGCAGTTGGCCAAGTGTCTCAGACCTGGCAGTAGGAGGGGTGTGCCCTGTGTCCCTGGAGCCCATTTGGCCTTGGCCCTTGGGCTTAACACAAGGAGGTGGGTCTGTGCATCCTGAGTGGGCTTGATGGTACCAGCACAAAACCTTACCAGGTCTGTCAGATCCTGGTAGGAATCCACATACTGTCTTTGTCTGGGCTGATGAAACAGTCACAGAGCACATGGCAGAGGGAGATCAGACTCACTGCCCACTCCAGGAACCCTGGCGTCCCCCGAGCCCTGGCGTGGCACCATCCTACCTCCCTAAGCAGCACGTGGGAATGCCGAGGAGCCAGCGGGTCGTCCCCTGACCTCCCATCTCAGACCCCCTTGGGTCTATGTAGAAGTCTTTATGATCCATTTGAGAGTTCAGCTGGGGACCCTTTGAGTTCCCTGGCCTACAGCTTGCCGAGCCCCACCTTTTTCTGGTTTTGGTCGTCAAAATGATCCTTTATGGAAATACTTTTCTTTGTAGTTCTTGACTAGTGGGGCATTCCACTGCACCACTGCTGATGTCCTCTGTGATGTCATCTGGGTGGTGGCCATTGACATTGCAGCCCACAGACTGGGCATCCCCAGGACGTCTTAGGGGTTCCAGAGAGTTCTCTGGCTAAAGATCAGTGACGCATGTGATCAGGCAATGTTGACAATCTCATCAAGAGTGACATTGTCACTGTGCTTAATGTTTTTCTGCTGCTTTCTGTCTCTGCGGTTTCTTGAGGGCCTTTACGAGCAGGGCAGAGGCAGAAGGCACCACTTTGATCTGGGCCCGTCCTCATGGTCAGTTTCACTGTAATCCCCAGACCTTTCCAATCACTGGTTGCCTTGGCGATGTCATCACCAACCTTTTTTTGGGGAGCCAGACCACTGGGGCAGAGGTTTGGGGCCAGGGCAGGTGGGGCCCCGACTTGCCCACCAATGCACTTCAGGTACACAACTTTGATTTCGTCTTGGTCGGGGGTGGAACTTAGGCGGCATGGTGGAAGCGGCCGCTCTCAGATGAACCCGGACTCGGGAACGGAAGACAAATTGCGCCTTCACCATCTCTGAGCAGAAAGCAAGTCCCCCTTATTTTTTTAAGAAGGTGCCCCGCACTTGGCACACTTCCCATTATCCAGGATTCCTCCGCACTTCCGGTGCCCTCCCGGGTCTTTTCCGGTTCTAGGGACCTTGCGGGCTGCCCTTGGATCCCTGCACAGCAAACACGGGCCCCTCGGCCCCTAGTAGGCTGGGTGGCGCTCTCCACGCCCCTGCCCCTGACTTGTTTGCTTCTTGGTGGTCAGGAGCTGATAACATCTCCCTCGGGCCAATGGAGGATTCAAACATCTCGATTTATCCTGGATGAGACCCAGACCCTGTCCGGGGGCAGGTTTTGTGCTGGCCTGGGTCTCAGAGAGCAAGTGGGCCCAAAGGTGCTCCTACTTCCCATGGGACCCTGAACGAAGAGGCCCCTCCTCTGCAGCCTGCAGCCCCGTCTGGGAGCCCTGTTTTCTTCAACAAAGGGCTATCTCCGCTGTGAAAGCCATCCTGCTGTTTGGTGACACTTTCACATTTCCTTATTGAGCTTGTGTCTCACATCTTCTCTGGTTTGTTTCTCTTTAATGGAACCGTTTCTCCTAATTTAATTTTCAGATTGTTTATTGCTCATGTATAGAAATACAATCGGATTTTTGTTTAAGTAAGCTCGGTGCTCCACGTGGGGCTTAAACTCAGGGCCCTGAGATCAAGAGTCACAGCGAGGAGCCCCTCGTGGTGGTTTCCTCCAGAGAACTGCTGCGACGCTGCTCCTCCTCGTTCACCTGTGTTTTCATCTAGATGCAGCCCCTGTCTTTCTCCTATCCACCCCCCCACTTCGGATAAAGCAGGGCGCTGCTGTGGCCACGCCCCCCATCCCCCAGCGGCCGAGGCATTTCTGGGCTGTGCACTATTTCTGCAGCTGCTCCCCTGCCGATGACCTCAAGGTCAGAAGCCTACTGGTGTTCTAGAAGGCAGTCTCCACAGTCTTCAAGTGGCCACTTTAAGCACATAGGGAGGTTTGCTGGCCCATCTTGTGCCTCTGACACAGCTAGATAGTCGCTGGGCGCTTAGAGGCCAGGCTGGACTTGTTATTCAGGGTTCTCAGCATGTCCAGGGCACCCAGAGTTGCCTCCCTGATGCCCCCTCACACTTCTCCCTTGGGGTGGAGGCTGCAGTGGCCTAGCTGGGACTGCAAGACGTAGGTGCCTCCCTGGGAAAGGGGTCTCTGGCTCTGCCTTCTCGTAGTTTACGAGGTGTGGAGAACCCCAGGGCCCACGTGGCCCCACTGCGAAGTGGCCCTGGGGATTCCGATTTCCGTTTTGCCCAGAAGGTGCATCTTTGGCCTAGGAACACACTTGCACCTGCTGTTTGCTGGATGGTGGGATGAGAGTGGGAACCTGCACACAGGTGGGTGTCTCATGGGGACAGGCAGCCCCCCGATTACCTCCCAGGAGCCTGAACCGCCAGGGCTCAGCACTGTGCCCCTTGTCCTCCAGGATGGCTGCCTGGTCAGAGCAGACCGGAGGCTGGACTTGGCTGGTAGGTCCGGAGAGTGGACTGTCTTCTGCCCCTAGTTTTCAGGTAACCCGCAGGCTGGCTCCAACAAGCCTTTGTGCCACCTCTTTCGGCTGCACATGTGCCAGGGCCCGTGTGGCGGGGTTGGGACACAGGGTGCAAGGTCACGGCCGCGGCTGGGGCGGGGTGTTTGCAGGAGGCCAGGCTCCGGGAGTGGCGAGGACTGGCTGAGCGCCGAGGCCACTCCCCAACCGTGACCTTCGCAGACCTGCCCTAGGCGTGGGGGCGGCCCTGGGGGAGCCCGAGCAGGGCGGGGGAGGGGCGGCCCTGGGGGAGCCCGAGCAGGGCGGGGGAGGGGCGGCCCTGGGGGAGCCCGAGCAGGGCGGAGGAGGGGCGGCCCTGGGGGAGCCCGAGCAGGGCGGGGGAGGGGCGGCCCTGGGGGAGCCCGAGCAGGGCGGCGGAGGGACGCCAGGTTCGCGGGGAGAGTGGAACCGTCCCACTCAGCAGGCTCCCAGGGGTCCGCGCGGCCGCGGCCTCCCCCCAGCCCCCCGCTTCCCGAACAAGCGGAGGCGACTCGGGGGGGGCGCGTTCCGCCGGCCGGCCCGAGCGTGGCCGCTTTAAGGCGTGGGGTCCGCCCCCCGGCTCGAGGCGGAGTCGCGGTGGCCACGCCCCCTAGATGACCACGCCCCCGGGGCCGCGCGGGCGCATTGGTTGCGCGCGGCGCGGGCGGCGGACGGTGCTTTGAACTCCGCGCGGGCGGCTCGGCGGGCCGGGGTCTTGGTGGGGGAGGGTCGGGGTCGCGCCGGGGCCTGGGCCTGAGCCGGGGCCGGGCTGCGCGGGCCGGGGCGTAGCCGGCGCTCCTGGGCGTCCGCGGCGCCGGCCATGGCGGCCGAGGCGCGCGTGTCGCGCTGGTACTTCGGGGGGCTGGCGTCGTGCGGGGCCGCCTGCTGCACACACCCGCTGGACCTGCTCAAGGTGAGGCGGGGGGGCGGGGCGCGGGGAGGTCGGGGGGGCCGGGCGGGGTCCCGGGGCGCGGGGAGGTCGGGGGGGGGCGGGGGGCCCGCCCACGCCCGGGGCGCTGACCAGCCTGGCCCTGCACCGCCCCGTAGGGCCTCGAACTTGGGTCGGCCTTGGCGGGGGGCCTGAGGGCCGTGGGTTCACCGCCCCCGCCCGGAGACCCTGCTCTCTCCCGGGAAGAGGCGCCCCGTTGTCGTAGCTCAGGGGCCTCGTTTCCTCATACTACACCTGTGTGACCTTGGGCTAGTCACTTGGCCTCTCTGAGCCAGTTTCCACCCCGCAGTTTTGAGACAGTTCTGCCTGGTTGCCTCAGTTGAGGGGGTGGTTCTGTGAGGCGCACAGAAGTTGGCATCTGGAGACGAGCCAGGGCCGCGGTACACCCAGCGCATGGCCCAGGTGGCCTCCCTGCCTGGGGGGGGGTGGGGGGGATGGCGCACACAGTGAGGGAGTGCGACTGTAGGTGTGGGCTCCCTCCTGGGCGGGGTGGGCACCTGGAAGCCAGGGACCCTGCGCCCAGGCAGGTGGTGCCCTGGGAGGGCGAGCAAGAAGCACTCACACTCCTTTTACTTCTTTTAGAAACCACGCTTCTGGGGCAGTTGAAGACACAACTTCTCTTGTCTCCCAGAGCCGGCGGGGGCGGGGGGTGTTTTCTGCCCCTTTCTCCCTACAAAGAACAAAGAAGAAAAGCCAGTTGGGGGGGGGGAAGAAAGCCCAGTGATGCAGAGCATAGTCTCCCCCCCCCCCCCCCGGCCCTGCCCTGACACGGGGCCCCTGTTGACCCGAACCCCGGCCGCCAGGCCCCCGCCCCGTGCTCCCCCTGAGGGTGTCTTCCTTCCAGCACTTCTTTGCTGAATGAAGGAGACTGACTTCTCTAGCAAAAATGTGTGCCCCCGCCCCCCGCCAAGGCAGGATTAGCAGATTGGGGGGGCTGAAGCTGGTGCCCCACGGCCTGTCCTGGGAGAGGCCTGCGGGCTCCTAGTGGCCCCCAGGGCCTGAGCGCTGTCCGGAGGAGCAGGGCTCGCTGACCACCGGAGAGAGGCAGGCGGGACCCCTCCTTGTGCTTCAGTCCGCTTTCCCGACGTCCCCTCCCCGTCCCCACCGCGGGGCCCTGGAGGGTTAGGCTCGCGCCCGATTGTGGACGGACAGGCTCCCAGGGCCCCCGGAGCCTCACAGGCAGCCCGCAGCCATCTGTCCGCCACCCGCAGGCCCGTGCCCTGCCCCCAGGTGCTGGTTTGCCACAGAACCCTGCGGGGGGGGGGGGGTCAGGGGAGGCAGGCGGCCACGGGACCTGCTCTCTGGCCCCTGCTGGCGAGCAGCAGGCGGTGTGGACAGCCCTGGAGGCAGGCAGCAAAGGGAGGCCCTGGCTGAGGTTGTTGCCTCGTGGCCGTGTGGTGGCTGGAGAGGTTATTGTGCGGCTCTTTGCCCCGGCGCCGTCCTCAAGGCCGCTTCTCGCCAGGCCCAGGGCTGCTTCCTGCATGGCCGCCTTGCCCCCGGGCCCAGTGCCCTCTGTCCTACCCAGCTCTGCTGATGGGGCTGAGCTGAGCACAGAGCTGTCTCCCCCCCCGAGCCCCTGGGCAGCGACCGAGGGAAGGGAAGGGTACGTCCATCGAGCTGCCTAACCCTCGCGGCACAGGTGGGGAAACAGGCAGGAAGGTCAGTAACGGGCCGGACAGGCTGGGGTGTGTGGGGACCGACTCCGCGGTGGCCGTGCCCTGGCCCTCCTAGGAGCGTCCCTCCTCTTGTCCCCCGTTGAAGTCCCACCACCTCTTTCTTCAGGCTGTCCCTGAGTCCCCGTGACTCTTGATCCCTCTTGAGAAGTGGCAGAGCTAGGAAATGGGGCCCGCAGCCACCTTGCGGGTGTCCACTTCGTGCCTCAGCGTCCTCGTCTGTAAAATGGGATTGACGACCCCATCCCTGCAGCAGGTGCCGTGAGGACTCAGACACACATGTGGAGTATTTTTTTCACAGGCCTGGTGGGCTCACATGTTAGCTGGTGTCACTTGTTTTTTGGTGTGTGTGGGTTTTTTTTAATGTTTATTAAGAGAGAGCATGATCAGGGGATGGGGCGGAGTAGGGGAAGGACACAGAATCCAAAGCCGGCTCCAGACTCTGAGCTGTCAGCACAGGACTTGAACTCACAAGCTGTGAGATCATGACCTGAGCTGAAGTTGGACGCTCAACTGACTGAGCCGCCCAAGCGCCCTGGTATCGTCACTTGTAAAGCAAGAGTGTGGAATGGAGATGGGGGCCAGGTGTGGGCGTGGAGTCCCATCTCTACACCCCGCTGGGTGCCCTGTCTGCCTTCCCATGCCTCAGTTTCCCATCTCTAAACCGGGGTGCTGATAGCACTTGGCTCCTGGGGTCTTCATGAGGATGTGACATGATAGATGGTGGGAAAGGGCTCAGAGCAGAGCTGGCCAGTGGGGGCCCCTGTTCTGAGCAGGTGTGACCCCGACAGGTGCATCTGCAGACGCAGCAGGAGGTGAAGATGCGCATGACGGGCATGGCCTTGCAGGTGGTGCGCTCCGACGGCATCCTGGCTCTCTACAACGGCCTGAGTGCCTCCCTGTGCAGACAGGTGCCCTGGGGGCCCCCTCCCAGGGCGGGGGCAGGACATGTGGGCAGGACACTTCTGCCTCCCAGCCAGGGGCTCCCTTAGGTCCCAGTCCCAGAGCCCACGCAGGTGGAAGGGAAATCTGGCGCCCCTCAGGCCCGGACTCAGACACAGCCCTGCCACCTCACTGTGGGTGCCCCGCGGGCACCGAAGTTACTTCTCCTCTTCAGGGTGGTTAGGAGAAAGGAGCCACAGGCCCAGGGATGGCAACCCCAGCCGGCACGGCGTGCGGTGGGATGGAGTGCGCTCCGCCTTCTACAGGGCCGGCCCTGCTGTCTCAGCTGGCTCAGGACCTCCACTTACAGATGGGGAAACTGAGCCCAGGGAGGGAAGGAGGAAAGTGCCGGGCTCTGGACTCCGCCAGCCCCAGATTTGCAAATTGGCTCAGCCACTTGCTGACCGTGCGGCCTTGAGCGGGTCCCTGTGTCCCCCTGGCCCATTTGGTGATGACTGTACACTAGGGAGGCTGGGGAGGGCCAAGACGTGTCAGACATGTCCGGCAGGGTCCCCCACCTGCACCCTCTGAGCTGGGCCCCTTTCCCCAGATGACCTACTCCCTGACGCGGTTTGCCATCTATGAGTCCGTGCGGGACCACGTGACCAAGGGCAGCCAGGGACCCCTGCCTTTCTTCCAGAAGGTGTTGCTGGGCTCCATCAGCGGTGAGCCGCTGGCTGGGCAGGGGAGGGTGGGGCCGAGTGGGCATTGCCAGTCGCCACATGTTGACTCTGGGGTCTGTCGCCCCAGGTTGCATCGGAGGCTTCGTGGGGACCCCTGCAGATATGGTCAATGTCAGGTCGGTATACACGCCCACCGGAGGCCCGGGTCCTCCCTCTCCCGTGACAGACTGGGGGCTGGCTCGCTTGGGTCTGCAGTGCGTTCAGCCCAGAACAAGCTGTTCACTCTTTGGGGTCCTGGGCGGGGGTGGGGGGGCGGGGGACGGGCCCAGCTGCTCACTGCCAGGGTGAGCGCGGAGCCTGCTGACCTCTGTGGGGGGGCCCCAGCTGCCCCCTGAGCCAATGCGCCCGTTTCAGGATGCAGAACGACATGAAGCTGCCGCCGGGTCAGCGCCGCAAGTGAGTAGCGGGGCCTAGTCCTGCTCTTGGGGGGTCCTGGTGGGTGTGGGGGGCCGAGCAGGGAGACCTGAGCGGCTTTGGGGGGCGCCAGCGGGGAGCGCAGCGGGCCGCGCTGCCCATGGCATCACCCAGAACGAGCAGAGGCGGCTGACAGCTTTGGGAACCCAGCACCGTGCGTGTCCATCCTGAGTCAGAAGGGCCCTGGCTTCTTCCCTTGGGGGGACCAGGGGTGGGGGCTGGGCTCCCAGGCCCCCAAGGCTCGTGCTCGCGCTCGCTCACAGGGAGGGTGATCTAGAAGTTTGAGTCTGGGCCTTCAAACAGGTTTGGAAACTAGGATTTTTTTTTTTTTAATGATAAGAATACCTTTTTTCACGAAGTGTAAGCTCCCATTAATTCCAAGGCTGCCTCTGGTTTGCTGCCGTAACTAAGGGCAGACGTGGGCTATGCTCAGCTCAGGGGTGAAATGGGGCTCCAGGCAAGGCCGTCGTCCCCTCTCTGGCCAGACCGTGAACCACAGGAGAAGGTGGACCAAGGGAATGGGGTGAAGGAGGTGAGGCAGGCCCCCTCCTCGCCCTCAGGAACAGTGGACAGACAGGACCAGCCCCCAGCGCTGGCCGCCCCCCAGAGGGGCTGGGGCCTGAGGGTTTTCTGGTGGCACTTGGGGGGATCTTCAGGCCCCTTTGTCCCCTGACCCCTTTGAGAGCTGCGTGGCTCTGCCCAGGGAGGACCCTCCCTTGGGGACCGGTGGTCAGGGGTCAGGGGGAGCCTCATGGCGTCATTCTGTGTCCCTGGCAGCTACGCCCATGCGTTGGACGGCTTGTACCGCGTGGCCCGAGAAGGTATGAGGAAGGGGTCCAAGGGGGCCGGGGGGCGTGGGGAGTGTTGTGCAGGACGGGGAGGGGGGGGCTGAAGGTTTGGTGGGCACCTCACCTCCTGTCTTCTGCAGAGGGTCTGAAGAGGCTGTTCTCCGGTGCGAGCATGGCGGCGAGTCGAGGGATGTTGGTCACCGTGGGCCAGGTGGGGCTTCCGCTGGCCGCGGGGTCCAGGCGGTGTCACCATGGGCCCCTGTCTGCTTTCCCTGGAGATGGGGGCCCCCCTCCGGGCCCTGACCACCCCTCCACCCCCACAGCTGTCCTGCTACGATCAGGCCAAGCAGCTGGTCCTCAGCACCGGGTACCTGTCCGACGGCGTCTTCACTCACTTTATCGCCAGCTTCATCGCAGTGAGTGCTGGGTCCGGTGGGGGGGCCGGAGGGGGGGGCCCTGACCAGCCTTGGGAGCTGAGTACCCAGAATGAGGCCAGAGCCCAGAAGGACAAGGCTTAAGACCAGTCGGGGGTGTCCCTCCGGGTTGCGTAAGCGGGCACCGGGGCACAGGGAAGGGGCTCCCAGACCACCTGCTGCCGAAGCCAGGGCACTTCTGAGCGGTTCCCGTGTCCCTCAGGACGCGCCCGGGATCCCGGCCAGGGGCTGTGGGGGGAGGGCGGGGGTGCTTGTGCGCTGTGCCTGGCAGGCCCGTTGGTGACAAGCCCCCCCTGCCCAGGGTGGATGTGCCACGTTCCTGTGTCAGCCCCTCGACGTCCTGAAGACCCGCCTGATGAACTCCAAGGGCGAGTACCAGGTGAACGGGGGCTGCGGGCCCCATTCGCCTCCCGAGAACAGGCCGGGGGGGGGGTCCCCATCTGCGCCATCGGGCTCCACGTCCCGCCAGGTGAATGGGGCCCTTCCCTCCGCAGCTTCACCCTCCCCACCAGCCCTGGGGCAGCCCTTGGCACTGTGTGTTTTTAAGGATTTTTTTAAGTAGGCTCCGCGCCCATCATGGGGGTTGAACTCTTGATCCTGAGATCAAGAGTCGCAGGCTCTACCGACGAGCCAGCCAGCCGCCCCCTGTGTGTCTTTTTAAATCCGATGCCTTGATGTGTTCACAGAGGCAGCCGGTTCACTGCAGCCAGTGAAATTTGGGGAGGCGCCCTGGGTCCTCCCGGGGCCCTGCTGCGCTCATTACCGGCCCCCACGCACCCCGCCCGCAGGCGCCCCCAGCTGCCGTTACCTTTGACCCCTGGCTGGTGCTGGGGGACGGGTGTGTGACTTGTGCCTTCAAGTGAAAACCAGCTTTTCCTTTTATTGTTTTATTTTGTTTTCCGCAGGGTGTTTTCCACTGCGCCGTAGAGACGGCAAAGCTCGGGCCCCTGGCCTTTTACAAGGTTGGGCTTAGGGGCGGAGGGGGGCGGGGCTGGGGGCGGGGCGGGGGGGCAGGGCAGGGCAGGGGGGGGGGCGTCCCTCGGGGTCTTCTCATGTCCTGCTCCCCTTGTCTCCGCCCAGGGCCTGGTGCCCGCAGGCATCCGCCTCCTGCCCCACACCGTGCTCACCTTTGTTTTCCTGGAACAGCTTCGCAAACACTTCGGCATCAAAGTGCTTTCCTGATGGGGCCCGGGAGGGGCCTGCGCCGGGTCCAGCCCCCAGTGCCGGGCTCTTCCAGGGTCGGGGAGGGTTGGTGGGCCGAGCCCCCCTTGTCCCTGGCCCCGGACCCCCACCCTGTCCTTTCCCAGCAGGCTCGTTCCAGTGAGCTTCGCCCCCTCCAGCTCCTGCGCCACCCCGGCCTGTGCCCTGCACACGGTGACTCACCTGGGGGGGGGTGGTATCCAGGCCCAGGCTGGGTTTTCCCTCCTCCTTGAGTAACTGGTTAGCACTTGCGGTGGGGGAGCTGGGCCGCCTCGGCTTTCTAGGCTCTGAGGCCTCTGCCCCTTTTCCCTTGTCCCCTGAGGTTTCTCTGTTTCATTGAGCAGCTGCCTGGGACCCTCAGCACCATTTTCCAGCAGCTTCCATCGAGGACCTGGGTGGCAGAGTAGTGGGGTGCAGACCCCCGGCAATGCTCACCAAATCACGTGTGTGCACATGCACTTTTATCTGTGGAGAGGGACCACAGCTTCGCCGACAGTTCTCAAGGGCGGCCACACCCCCATAGCTCTGGGGCGGGGGGCGAAGGGGGGCAGGTGGCACCCTGAAGAATTGAGTGCCCAGGAGGGAGGTGACCACGTAGCACGGGGGCCCTAGGTCCAGCCAGCCCCAGCCAGCCCTGGGCTGTTTTCACAGGTAGTTTCGCCAGAATTTCTGAGAGCCAGGAGGCCATGCCGCCTTCTGGAGCGTGCAGACCCCCCACTCCCTGCGTAGCCCCCTTTGTGTGGTGTGTCTCGGGGCCCTCTCTTTGAGGACAGTGGCCATCTGTAAGCCCCCTGCAGCTGAGACCCAGAATGCCAGCACCTGGGTTCTGTCCAAGCAGCCTGTCCCCTCCCAAGTGGCCCTGGGCTGTGTCCATCGGCCTCCCTAGGAGGCCCTGCCCCAGCCAGGGGTGTTCACAGTGACGCTAATAAAGGACCCTGAAGTGCTCTGAGTCTGGCCTCTGCTCCTGGGCGACAGACCCACCCTACACCCTCCAAGGAGGGCTCTCGGGGGGGGGGGGGCACGGCTGAGGGCCCAGAGTGGGGAGGAGCCCCTGAATACCTGGGGGGGCAGCCTGTGGGCCAAGGATTTGGGGGACGCTGGGCCGACAGCAGCCCAAAACCGGGGGGGGAGAGGGGAAAAGGGGTGTGCAAGCTGGGGGTCTGGTCAGCGTTGAGTTTTCAGATCCAAGGTACCACGGACCCCTGAGTTTCCCCTTCTCAGCAGGCTCCCAGGCACCACGGCTGGGCTGCCCGCTGCCCTGGAAGCCCCCCTTTGGCCGTGGGGGGAGTGCCTTGAATCGGCGTCCTGGGCTCTTGGGCGATGCCCAGGTGCTGGCAAGCCCAGAAAGGGGCTGGGCCACCCTGGCTCTTTGATTGCGGACCTTTGGACAGACTGGCTGGGGCAGGAGCCGGTGTGCGAGCCCCTGAAACCCTTCCGTGTTCCCGGGCCCGTGGGCGCTGCCCCGGGGCCGCCTGCTCGCCGGACCGACACGCAGTCCACTGGCAGCTCGTTCAGACATCAGGACGCCTGACACTCTGGTCCTGGGGCTTTTCAAGTGTATTGAAAAATGTTAGCGGTGAGGGTTGCCCCAGCCTGTAAAGGTACTAAATCCCGCTGGGTCTCCATAAAACAAGCCTGGCCCGTGCACGCCCGGGCCGCCCATGACCTTCACACCCACAGCTCCTTCCCCACCCACTCACTGCATTATTTGGAAGCAAATTCCAGACTTTGAATCATTTGTAGATACTTCGGCGCCTGTGTCTCAGTCTTTCAAAAACCGTGAACATCCCTACGGTGGTAGTTCGCCCAAGTGAACACTACCTACCGGTCAGTCTCCCGACCCTCAGGTTTCCCCGGGCAGCGAGGTGTGCGGAGGCCTGCGGTGTCCCCTCCCTGCCCGGGCTCAGAATTCCCTAAAACCGGCAATTGAGCCGGATCCAGGGCCCCCTTCTGGGCAAGAGAACCTGGTGTGGGGGGTGGTTCCTGCCATGTCCTTGCCGGGGGGCCGGGGGGGGGGGGCGTCTCCGGGTCTGGTCACGGTTGGGCGTCAGCACAAAGCAGCCACGTGCCCTGAAGCGCACAGATGAGGCGGGGCTGGCACCCCTGGCCCGGCCTGGCCAGGCCCAAGCGTGCGGCCCTCTGGGCTGGCACACAGTTCCCGGTGCCCAGACCAGAGCCCCCTCGGAGGGAACCGGAACCCACAGCCCCAACAGTGAATCACGCTGGCAGGGGTGGTGAATGAGCCACAGGGAAGGCCACCGCTTCTCTCAGACCCCAGGCGGGTTAAAAAGGCAGCAAGTTTGGGCCACTTGAGGGACAAGCTCTCTGCTTGAAGCTGCATGGGATGGTCCTGTCCCCATGGGGAGCTGGCATTTCACCAGCTGCCCCCCGGGACCAAGGGGAGAAAGTGCCCTGACTGGTTTGGTAGGACAGGTCTGGCAGGATGTGGAGGGAAGAAGGGACCGACCTCCCCCCCCCCCCCCCCCCCGCACAGACCGTTGCTTCCGGGACTGAGTTCAGGGCGGAAGGGCAGCAGGAAGGCCTGAGCCCCGAGATCTCTGTGTGTGTGTCCTCAGAACGCACCTGAGAGCCCAGGCCCCAGACCCCAGCCCGGGTCCCCCCCAGGCCCCAGCCCCGTCCCCCCAGACCCCAGCCCAGTTCCCCCCCTTGGGCCCCAGCCTCCCATCCCCGCCAGCCCCACCTGCTGGCTGGCCCCAAGCCGATTAATTTCACACTTGGGCCTGAGGGCACAGTCAGCATTTCCCGGGTCTGCCTCAGCCTTTTTTTCTTAAAGAAACACTTTATAATTTATAAAAAGTTACGTGATGAGTATTGTCAAGAAATTTCAACAATTTGGGGCAGAGACCAGTCAGGGGGGAGAGAGTCTGTCCCGAGCATCAGGGCAGCTGAGTGTCACGTGCTGAGGCATTAGCCCAGGCCCTTCCCTCGCCCGCCCACAGTCTCACCGGGCAGTGGGCCCCACACCCCAGTGTCACAGCTGAGGGGCCACGCACCCAGGGCTTGCTCTGGCAGAGGGCAAGAAGCACGTGTCCACACAGACGCTGTGCACAAATGGTCCCGGCCGCCTTACACCAACCCCAGGGCAGAAGTAGCTAAATGTCCACCACCGGCACGGGAACTGCGTGTGGTGTGTGCGTGTAGTGCAGTATTCCTGGGCCATAAAAAGAAGTGAAATCATCCAGACACCAGGAGAATCCAGTGTGTGCTCCGGGGACACCGGAGGACAGGAACGCCCCAGCCCCCGCCTTGGCCGGCCACCCCCCCCCCAGCACACAGGGCGGGGAGGTCAGGGTGCCCTGACTTTCCCCCGTTGCAGTAGGCGGGAATTACGAGTAATTACTGAGTAAAGCCTCCTGTGGTTGGCTGTCTTTGCCAGTGGATGTGATCTCAGGAGCCGGACGGCCGGGGACAGGAGCGCCGTGGGGGTTAGAAGGCTCCTGCGCCGGGACCACGCCCAAGTTCGGGAGGCGCTCCGTAGGTTTTCAACTAAGAAAAAAAAATGTTTTACAAAAGAAAGGGACACCTGGCTGGCTCCGTGGGTGGGGTGTGCGCCAGCTCCACCTCCGAGCCCCATGTTGGGTGCAGAGGTTGCTTACAAATAAAATGTCAGGGGCGCCTGGGTGGCTCGTTGGTTAGGCCTCTGAGTGTGGCTCAGGTCACGGTCTCAGGGCTTCCGAGTTTGAGCGGCGGCCTCTCTGCTGTGGGCGTGGCGTTGGCTTCAGATCCTTCCTCCCCTTCTCTGCCCCTCCCCCGGGTGTCCTCTTTCAAAAATAAACAACATTAGTAAACCAAACAAAATGCTAAAAAGGAAAACAAAAACCTCAAGCAATACACAAAACTACAAAGAAAGCCAAAGGGATGGAATGTCCCCCCCACGCATCCCCATCGAAGCGTTGGTGACACAGAGGCTACACCACCCGCTGCGACAGGAACGGCACGTACGGGACTGTTCACAGCGCTTTACAGCGACACGAAATACAATGTCCATTTCATGTTTTGCTTGCAAGGGAGATAATTATATTTAACTTCGGGAAAAGAGAATTTCCTTTTAAAGATTTTATTTTTAAGTAATGTCTACAGCCAGCGTGGGGCTCCAACCCACAACCCCGAGACCGGGAGCCACCGCTCCCCTGACTGAGCCAGCCCAGTGCCCAGGGGGACATGAGGCGCCCGCCAGCGGCCACACCGATGGGGGGACGCCGGGGACGCCGGGGGCGCGGCCGGGTGATGTTCACACCCACGCCCCCGCTGGGAGCTGTGGGTGCTAGCGTGAGGCTGGCGGGCAGGGCGGCCTGGGCCCACGACCCCCCGCCTGCGCCCCCAGCCTCAGTTCCTCCGTCTGCTCAGGGGGTGGAAGTGACGCTTGGGCCACAACACAGACCCCACCTCCCTCCAACCGGACCCTCCCGGAAACAGCCACTGCCGACCTGGTACTTCCCCAGGTGGAGGGGCTGTGACAGCAGGAAACAGACAGACGCGCCTCCGGGAAACTCCATGTTCCAGAGAGATGCTAGTTCCGGAAAAATGACGGAACATGGAAAGTGGAGCCATGTGCTTTTTCTCCTCCGGTCCTGCCCTCCCCTCTCCCCCCTCCCCACTCTGTCTTCCCCTCCCCTCCCCCTCCCCTCCCCCTCCCTTTGTCTCGTCTCCTTATCCTCTCTTCTTACCCCTCCTCTCTCCCCCCTCCCCTCCCCTCTTCCTTTCCCCTCTGCCTCCCTTTCTCTTCCCCTTCCTTCCCCCCTCCCTCTTCGTTTTTCTCTTCCCTTCTCCCTCTCCCCCATTCCCTCCCCCTCCTCCCCTTCCCTTCCCCTCTCTCTCTCCCTCACCTCCCCTTCCTCCCCTTCCTCGCCCTCCCCCTCCTCCCCGGCTCCCTAGACCATCTGCTCACCTGGCACCCAGGGGTCACCTTGTCCTCTGACACCAATTGCTGTCCTGCTGATGCCCTAAACCAGAAGGGTCTGTCCCCGGGCCCAGGCCCACACTCTGGGACCAAAGGGCCCCGTCTGAGGGTTGGGGGCCCCCTCCGTCCTGGCACAGGTGACCCTGGAATTCACCCCTCCTGCAGTGCGCCCCCAGCACGGAGGCTTGCCTCTGTGCCACCCTGGAAGGTGCCCCCAGCTCCCCAGCAGCCCCGTCTGCACCCTGGTCCGGGTCTCCAGGGTCCTTACCCGCTGCCTCCTATGGGTCCTGGACCCCGGGGGACAATTGGTGCGAGGTGTCCCCAGGCCTCTGAAGACCCAGCTCTGCCTTCTCCCCTGGGGCCCCAGGAAGGTTCTCGCTGGCCGGGGTCTCACTGCCAGGGAGTCTCTAAGAAAGGCTGAGGTGAGGCTGGGAGTCTGGGGGGTCTGCTTTCTGCCTTCTGCCCCACCACAGCCCGGGGCGCCCTCTGCCCCATTGTAAATGCCGATCCCATTCCTTACCCTCCTGGGGGGGCGGCTTCTCCTTGGGACCCCGGCCCACATGATTCTTCAACCCTGAACTTCAGTGACAACCCGATAGGTCTCAAGGCCCGTTGTGTGGCAGGTTCTCCCGGGAGAAGCATGTACCTTGCATCTGTGCGTGAGCTCCTCCCCAGTTCCGACCTTGGCTTCTGCTGCGCCTTCTGGAACATTTCTGCCTCGGTTCAAGGGCTTCCCTCCAGAAACACCTTCCGCTGGGTGGCCTTTGCGCTGCACACCGTTCCGTTCCCAGGCTGCTTGTCCCTCCGTCCCCGCTGCGTCCCCAGGGGCCACGCTGGGGTGTCCCTGCGGTGAGATTCCCCTGGCGGCTCCTTGGGAGCAGGCGGGGGTCTGAGCAACCCCCTCCCGTCCGTCCTCTGGATGCCCTTTGCTCGTTCCTTCCCGGGCTGGGCGCTTGGTCTGTCCCCGCAGCTGCCCACTCGCTTTCCTGTGCTCTCTGGCCCGCTCCCTCCCTGCCTGCCTCCTCTCCCCTTGCACCCCACTCCACCCCTTCTCTGGGCACTGCTCCCCTCTGAGCCTCCTGCTCCGACGTAGTTCAGTCCCCCCTTCGGGGACACGGCTGCCTGCTGCCCCGGCCCCCAGCCCGGGACCCCCTGGGACCTGCTGTGCAGCCCGCTGCGCTCTGCACGAAGCTCAGCTGGGCATCCGGGAGCCGGAGACGGGGTGCTGCTCCCTGACCCCAGCCCTAGGGCCGGGCTCCCCAGGACAGAGGACAGCCCCACATCAGCTGCCCGGGAGCAGAGGCCTCCCTGCCCCTCCGCACGCTTCGCATCACTGCCGGCCAAGGTGCTACAGCCGCTGGACCTGGGCCCCGGTGACAGTCACACCCAGGTGACAGAGACTCCCTTGAATGGGCCTCTGCGGGTGGCGGGGGGTTGGAGGGGCTGGGCCTGTTGACCCGAGTGCCTACAACTGCCTCCCCCGGGGGTTTCACGGCTTGGCCAGCGTTCCAAAAGGCCACCCGAAGGTCTTCTTTTTTAAGTTTATATATTCTGTATAAAGTACTACATCCAGGGGTGCCGGGGGCACAGTCGTTTGAGCGACTGACTTCGGCTCAGGTCATGATCTCACGGTTCGTGGGTTCGAGCCCCGCGTCGGGCTCTGTGCTGACAGCTCGGAGCCTGGAGCTGCTTCGGATTCTGTGTCTCCCTCTCGGTGCCCCTCCCCCGCTCACGCTCTGTCTCTCTCTGTCTCAAAAATAAACAAACATTAAAAAAATTTTTTTTGAAGTACTGTATCTTTCCTCAGGTCCTCACTTCCAAGATGAACAAGAAACGAAGGAACAATGGTCGTGCAAAAAGGTCCGGGGCCACAGCAGCCCGTTCACTACACCAGCTACACCCCTGTTCCCTGCCGAGGCCAGTAAGAAGTTCCTTACTCAGGGTGCCCAGGGCGGGGGGCTCAGTCGGGTCAGTGTCAGGCTCTTGGTTTTGGCTCAGGTCATGACCCCAGGGTTGTGAGATCGAGCCCCACGTTGGGTTCTGTGCTGACAATACAGAGCCTGCTTGGGATTCTCTCTCTCTCTGTCTCTCCCCTGCTCGTGTTCTCTCTTTCTCTCTCTCAAAATAAATAAGTAGGGGCGCTTGGGTGGCTCAGTCGGTTGAGCGTCCGACTTCGGCTCAGGTCATGATCTCACAGTTCGTGGGTTCGAGTCCCGCGTCGGGCTCTATGCTGACAGCTCAGAGCCTGGAGCCTGTTTCAGATTCTGTGTCTCCCTCTTTCTCTGACCCTCCCCTGCTCATGCTGTCTCTCTCTCTCAGAAATAAATAAAACATTAAAAATTTAAAAAAAAGAAATATTAAAAAAAACTAAAAATAAATCAAAATAAATAAGTAAACTTAAAAAAAAAAGATGTTTGTTATTTGGAACATAGTAAGGCCGCTGCCTCTGGGAGAATCCCGAAGTGAGTGTCTGGCTGGCTGTGTGCTTCCCGAGCTGTGTGTGTGAGTGTGTGTGAGAGTGGGGGGTGGGGGTGGGGTGAGTGTGAGTGTGCATGAGAGTGGGGGTGTGGGGGGGTGTGAGTGTGCGTGAGACTGGGGGGTGAGTGTGTGTGTGTGTGTGTGAGAGTAGGGGGTGGGGTGTGTGAGTGTGCGTGAGAGTGGGGGGGTGAGTGTGAGTGTGAGCGAGTGTGTGTGTGCAACCACAGCACCGAGCGAGCTATGCCCTTCGTGTCGAGTGGCGGGGAACCGCATTGGGGTCACGGAAGGACCGACCGCCCCACCCCCCGCCCTCCACCAAAGCTGAGGGAGCTAAGTCTTCAAGGACTGAAGAAAAGCTGTTCTCTGGAAAATAAATAAATAAAACGGAGGTTACACTTAAAGCAAAGAAAAATGAATTGTCAAACTGTTCCCCACAGTGGCGGTGCCGTCTCACGTCCCCCGGCGGAGACAGGAATCGCTGCGCGAGGCACTGACCCTCGGTCCAGTCGGCCTTTCCACTTTGAGCCATGTGACTGCGCGGGTGACGGCCTCTCACTGTGGGTTTAGTTTGCATTTTCCTAAGGATGAATGAGGTGGAGGCCTTTCCTCTACGGACTCACCCCATCCCATCCGTACATCTTCCTGTCTGTCTGTCCTTCCTTCCTTCCTTCCTTCCTTGCTTCCTTTCTTGACTCTTTTTACTTTTTATCTTATTATTTAATTATTATTATTATTATTTTTTTTAATGTTTTATTTATTTCTAGGAGAGAGAGAGAGACAGCGTGAACAGGGGAGGGTCAGAGAGAGAGGGAGTCACAGACTCCGAAACAGGCTCCAGGCTCTGAGCTGTCAGCACAGAGCCCAACGCGGGGCTCGAACCCACGCACCGCGAGTACATGACCCAAGCGAAAGTCGGACGCTTAACCGACTGAGCCACCCAGGCGCCCCTATTATTATTTTTATACGGAGAGAGAGAGAGTGCGCAGGGGAGAGGGGCAGAGGGAGGGAGAGAGACTCCTAAGCAGGCTCCATGCTCAGCACAGAGCCTGACGCAGGGCTGGACCCTGGAATCACGAACTGGGCCGGAATCCAGAGTAGGATCGTCAACCGACCGAGCCACCCAGGCGCCCCTCTGTACATCTTTTCAGTAAGGGATCTGCTCAAATGCTTTGACTGTTTTTTTATAATGAGCTGTTTCCTTATTATTGGGTTTTTAAAACATAACCCCAGTGAACTATTTATTTTGATATATATATTTATTTCAGTTTTCCTCGTAACTAAAAGTTCAAGTTCTTTAGTAGATTGAGGCCTCTTCGGGGCACCAACTTCTTTGGTACTTTTTGTTCTTGAGGAACTTGCTGAAGGTATTGGCCTGGAACGCTTCATAATGTTCCTTTCGTTCCTTTTAATCACTCCATTGATTACCAATCAATCATGTTTTCTTTGTAAGCCGCGCACTTACGGCTAGAGAGTGTTTCCTCTGAGATTGACCTTGGCTCTAGTGCATGAGTCCCTGACAGATAGTGTCCCCCCGGCCCTGAGATCAAGAGCTGCTCCTCCCCCAACTGAGCCAGCCAGCCGCTCCCGTCATGTAAAAATTTTTATTTAGACAAATTCATAATTTAATTGGACACCCCTCTCTCAGGTGATAGAAACACTGGACAGAAATTCACAGGGGGAGGGCGCCTGGGGGGCTCAGTCGGTTGAGCGTCCGAAGTCAGCTCAGGTCATGATCTCATGGTTCGTGGGTTCGAGCCCCACGTCAGGCTCTGTGCTGACAGCTCGGAGCCTGGAGCTGCTTTGGATTCTGTGTCTCCCTCTCTCTCTGCCCCTCCCCTGCTCACGTGCGGTCTCTCTCAGTCTCTCAAAAATAAACATTAAAATATAAAATAAATTTGGCAAAATTCAAAACTATTCATGATTAAAAAACAACAACTCTCAGAAAACCAGGAATAGGCGGAATTATCTCAACATGCTAAAGAACGTCTCCACAAAGCCCGTGGCTAACATTGCCCCTAACACTGGAGACCCGGTGCTTCCCGGAGGTCAGAGCGCCGGACGCCTGGCCTCCCTGCCCTGTCCCACACAGCGCGGAAGGTCCGCCCAGGCGCGGCTCAAGGATACAGAACAAAAGGCGTACAGAGAAAGGAAGAAATAAAACTCCGGCCATTTGCACATGACACAGCTATCTCTCTGGAAAACCCCAAAGAATCTACAAAAGAAAAAAAAATCCTCCTAGAACTAAATATTTTAAATATAAAAATAATTTTGTTTTTTTTTTAATTTTTTAATGTTTTTTTTTTAAATTTATTTCTAGGAGAGAGAGAGAGAGAGACAGCGTGAGCAGGAGAGGGTCAGAGAGAGAGAGAGTCACAGACTCTGAAACAGGCTCCAGGCTCTGAGCTGGCAGTCAGCACAGAGCCCGACGCGGGGCTCGAACCCACGAACCGCGAGATCATGACCTGAGCGAAAGTCGGATGCTTAACCGACTAAGCCACCCAGGCGCCCCAAATATAAAAATAATTTTGAAATTCTTATTTTCAAAAGGATAACATATGCTAATAAACTGAGGAGCCTAAGTAATGTCATTTTGAGATTAAGGGCTCCATTGAGAGCAGCCTCTGCCTCAGTTCCAGGAAAAGCCTCAGATTGCTCAAGGCTGAAGCCACCCTCGGACCACCCTCAGATCAGCCAATCAAAGGAAGGTAAAAACATTCCTGTGGTCTGAGTCAGGGACTGAGGACTATAGATAGTTACTTACACACTAGCCAATCACTCACCGCTTGCCTGAACCCCACGTGGGCCCTTTGAACTCACCTCATACTTGGTCATTTTCAAAGGATTCTCAAAGGTCATGACTGGGTCCCACCAAAAGTAACGACCACCTCACAGATACCGAAAGGTCAAAGCTGTTACATGGGTGCTGTGCAATTGTGATTGGTGCTTATGTGATGATGCTACACGTACACCGTGTACATTTAAGCCCCTGACCCCTTGAAAACCCTGCTCGCTATTGTTCGGGGCTTCACCCTGCTGCCGCTGCGCCGGTTGACGGGTGAGCCCCGGCTCGAGCTTGTAATAAAGACCCTTACGTACTTGCATCCGTGTCGGCTCCTTGGGGGTTTCTGGGGACTCACGATTCAGGCACAACAAAACCAAAATACACGCTCCTAAATATCTGAGCTGCGGAAGGGGCCAGAACCGCGAGACGCGAAGAATGACCGACGATGAAAGTAAAACGCATCCAGTTGGTAGCGGCGGCTGCAGCCCATCCGCTGAAAGGGAAGCTCAGAGCCTGAAATGCATCCCTTACAGGATGAGAGGACGTCTGAGCTTCAGCGAGTGTGAAAGGAGCAGTAAAACCCAGAGAGAACAGAAGGAAGGAAATACTACGTAAGAACAGACCCCATGAAAGAGAAATCGATTGACAGAAACATGCAACCGGCCCTTTGGAAAGACGAATGAAATCCTCAAACGTCTGGGTGACCAGCGAGGGGACGAGAGAGGAGAGAAACCGTCGGTGAAGGAGAAGCTCAGAGGTCAGATCGTAAGCAAATGCTGCAAACGGCTCGCGTCTCTGGAAGATCAGATTGAACAGATAATGTTCTAGAAGAACGTAGACAGAACATACGGCCGGACGGCGGTGACACATGCCAACGCAGCTGAGGCCCCCAACGGCCAGGTCTTGGCCAATACCGGGCAGCTTCCCTAATTTCGGCCCCAGCTTCCCACTCGGCCGAGCAGAGAGGCCTGCGCTGCGCTAGGCAATCACGGCGATCGCGGCCCCTGCTGGCGCCCTCAGCCGCCCCGGGCCAGGGAGCCCCTGAACCCCTTGACCGCGAGCTGTGTCCCTCTCCTCCGCCCGCCTGTGAGTCTCTGCCCCCATACGAGTCGTGGGGGCCGCCTCCCTGCACCAGGAGCTCTGCGAACTCACCCCTGCTGGGTGCTCTGCATTTATACACCGTCCGCATCACAGGGTTGCAGACCGAGCTGGGGTCACGGGCGAGTTTTCCCCACATGTTCAGGGACTGCGTACGGAACAGAAAATCCCCGGCTTAAAGTGTTCGCAGGAGCCTAGCAGGAGCTCGGCCGCAAAATGAAATTCAGGAGAGCAACCTAGTTCACAGCCGGGCTGCAGAAAGCCCAAGGACAGTGGTGGGCGTGGAAGTGGGCTGTGTGTCCAGAAAGCCCTCAGACCACACGGGACCGTAGCAGGGTTTCAGCTGCAGCGCCAGGGAGCTGGGGAGTGAGCTCCCTACACATTCCAGGAGGGGAAACGTAGGATCATCTCAACAGCTGCACAGAGAGCACTTCATCCAATTTAAAAATTTTTCACATTTATTTTATATTTGAGAGACAGAGCACAAGTGGGGGAGGGGCAGAGAGAGGGAGACACAGAATCCGAAGCAGCTCCAGGCTCCGAGCTGTCAGCACAGAGCCCGACGTGGGGCTCGAACCCACAAACCATGAGATCATGACCTGAGCCAAAGTCGGA